AAAAAAAAAAAAAAAAAAAAAAAAAAAAAAAAAACAATTACGGCAAGCTTTCAGAACAAGACAGTTTTGAACATCCAGTATACTAATAAAGCAATAGTAACTTATCCACCTGGCTGCAATGCAGTTTTATCTAATACCATCAACAACGCAAAACTTCGTTTTACCAACGCTCTAGCATATGGTTTCTTAACCAGTTGACGCCGTACTGGAAATCCTTCCAAAGCATCAAGCCTATAATTCCTAAATGATAAGCACCGAAAATCTTGGGGAAGTTTCTCGGCGCAACCTGGATTACCATCTGAAAACCAGAAATGACATAAAATATCTCTAGCTATAAAGCATTTTCAAGCTTCTCTAAGTCCACTGCTAACCCTACTTTCTCTCTCTTTCAGTAAAACTAACAGTACTATTAAATTACTACCAAACTCGTCCCAGCACTAAGCATTCCACCACTCTATACAACTCTCATGAGCAGACAACCTTCCAACGCACTAAGACGTCTTTCTCAGATCCAAAATTATTAAAATGGATAAAAGCGTCAAAGACAATCGGACTTCTTTAGCTTTTCACGTTTGTAGCACTTTCAAATTACATAATCACACGTATTTCCAAACAACGGAACTTTAATTTTACTGCTCCAACCAAGCAGCTTCTGCTTTATATTTATAACAGTACACTAAACCACTTAGAAAACGTAAACATATCTTTTCTTAATACAACGTCTCAACCACAGTTCACGGGACAAAAAAGTGACTATTTGATATCTGCGTCAGACACGCACCTTCAACTACCAGTCAAAACCGGTCACCAAGTATTAAATGCCCACGATAAGGCTCACTCGCGTTCGTCACGACCAAAGGTCCAGACTTCTAAACCGCACTGAACCGAGCTAACAACAACTAGTCAGACAATTAGAGCACTGCAAGAATACGGTAAACATCGGCCCTATACACCGAAAAATTCACCCGTCAATCATATTTCGCAAATCCACAGCCACGAAACATTCATTATAAAATCAGTGCCATGACAAGTGAAGTTTTCCGATTTCCAGTCTGAAATCCCAGACTTCCAAAATCCACTAGGCTCAAGTGAACATAACAGAGGGAAAAAACAACGTAATGTTCGAACAAATGATTAAAATTTCTGCCCTGAAACTGACAATACTGACCAACAACAAGCATGTAAAACCCGTAAATCGACAAAAAACATGAGTTTATTGTAAGAAGGCAAAACAA